TGGGCTACCCCGGCGTCACCGCAGACGATTTTGGGAAGCTGCGTCAGGTCGACGAGTTCGAGACGGAGATCGCGGTCATGTCTGAAGTGCGAGGATATTTCCAGGTGAGTCGGTTGATGCCTAATCACCGCACCGATCCGTGATTAATTGGGTTCCATTCAGTGTGCATATAAGGTTTGCAGTGAATTCACCACTTTCTTCGTTATGAGGACTCATTGCGGCGGATTTAGCGCGTGATCGATAATATCCCGTCGCTCATCGACAGCAAGGTACATAAATCCATTTGTGAGGTTGCTATCCTTGGATTGACGCTGGACCCGAGTTTCTGCGCGCTATTGCGCAGACACTGCAGCAGGATCTTATCTCTGAATTCGGGCTCGGCGGCGAGAACGCCAACGCCGCGTGTGCGACGTTCCTTGCGGAGGACCCTCGGTTGGTCGCGAAGCGGGAGGACTTGATTGCGAGGAGGAGGAGGCTCGAGACCGTGCAGGTCCAGCTGCATAACTTTGGCTTGAATAGGGCGGGACAGGCGTGAACGCAGAGATACTAGATTTGTTCGTTGTCTTTGGTATGGACATCCTAATTTCGAAAACAGAAAAAGTCGTGCAGCCAAACTTTATTGCAAGCGCTGTAAATGCCGCAAGGGCCAGTGATTTCCACATGAACGTTAACGGGGCCGGGTGACCGCCGAAGCTGGCTTTTTTTAACCCTTCCTAATTTCGTCCGAGTCCACCCGGAGTTTCTAGACCGGTAACCGAGAGCTCCGAGTATTTACGCGGGTACGGGTTTGTTTATCCAGCGAGAGCTCCTGGTTCGACTCCAGGCTGGGTCATTCATTCGCACGGTGTTTGCCCTTGCCTTCTTGTGTTTCGTTCTGTTTACCTCGCCCTAAATCGTGTTCGAAATCAGGTTTAAGTAAAGAGGAATAAGACCCAGTAGCGGACAGTTCCGCGCCCGCGCTCTGTAACCCTTGACCCAGCGTGATGCGGGAATCCCTGGTTCGACTCCAGGCTGGCTCATATTCCTGCCTGTAACAAATTATTTTTCCCTCTGTGCTCTGCCTCCTTCTAACTCACACTCGACACAAGGTTTAAGGACGAGAATGAGACCCTGTAGCGGAAGTTTCCACGCCTGCACCCTGTTTCCATTGATCTGAATACAGTGCTGCAGGAAATCCTGGTTCGACTCCAGGCTGGGTCACACAGGGGGCAAAAGCCCATGCAGTATGAGAACACCACACAGTAGAATTCTAAACGGTACAATTTGATATCTTCCTTTTGTCATATCAGCCACATCGAATAGGAAATTCCGGAGTCCGTCGGAGTTTAATGGCGTAGAAAGAGACCCAGTAGTAGACGGTTCGACACCCGCACCCTGTTTCCATTGATCTAAATACAGTGCTGCGGGAAGCCTGGTTCTACTCCAGGCTGGGTCATGATGTAGCCCATTAGGGTGTTTCAGAATTAAAGATTTGAGGCCATAACTTGTGCCTCAACTTGGGTTCAATTTGAGCGAAGTTGGGATACAAGTTGAGAGCATGTTTGTGAAACACCTAAGTAGAAGATTTTGCGAAGTTGAGGCAGACTTGAGGTTCGGGTGTCAGAAAGATGTGATGCAGGCCCGATGTTAAGTTGAGGTCCTATGCACAATTTGACATCCAACTTGGGGTCCAAGTTGAGGTCCAAATTGAGCCCCAAATTCTAATTCTGAAACACCCTCTTGCCTCTGTTTTTCTTTTGTTTCTGCTGCCTCCTTCTAATTCACAGTCGACACAGGATTTCAATTGCTAGAAATAGACCTATTAGCGGACAGTCCGCACCCGCCTGTGTTGAGAACGGAATATTCATATTTGTCCAGCGGGAGTCCTGGTTCTACTCCAGGCTGGGTCCCGATGACATTTTTCAGCGGACAGTTCAGCGCCCACACTCTCCGTCTAGCTCACCAGAAACCTTTTTGGCGACACACACGGCAATGGCCGTGCCCTGCCGAAAGATCGTAATTTTAATGAGGACAGTCGGAAGCCTACACGAACCGACTCAGAGCTCGCGCGCGCGCGGATAGATATGATTCGACGCGGCGCTTTACAAATCGGAAAGAAAAATAAACAAGGAACAAGGGAAGCAGGGGATTTGTGGGCGTATGAAAATGAATTTGACGGTGTTGATGTTATTATAATGTTACCGTCCGGGCCTCGCCGACTCTTCCTGTCGATGAGATCGATTGATCGTTGGAAGACCTCGCCGAAAACAAGCCTCTTGCCCCCCCGATGGCCAGGATGCGCCGGCGCCCATCATCCCACAAGCGGACACGCGACGGGTGAGTCGGCACACCCTCGCCTCGCAGCACACCTCGCATTCCCCCGTCGCCCCGCAGCACACATGGCATTCCCCGCCCCCAGCCCGCGCGCGTACTCGCACGACCATAACACTAGCCAACGGGGAGAAATCCATCCCGGACCCCGAACGTCCCTTGCAGGTTGTTTGGGCGGATGAGAAGCCGATGCAGGTCTTCTACAGCGATACATCGCCCCCCGAGCTCATGGTCCCATCCGCAGGCCTGACCATGGGGGAGCCTGGCGATCACCAACGGGCCACGCAACCCCGCGCGTGATATTTCCGCCCGTCGGCAGGGCCGGCGCTTGTTGATGGAGGGAGGATTGATAAAGAGCCGAGGAGAACTGACGTTTGAAGGGATCAGCATTCGGGCAAGGGCGTAGGAAAGTTGAGGCTCATTCATTGTTTTGCATAATCTGGATTAGTTTGCGGTCAACTGTGATTCACATTATAGCTGGATCTCATGGCGGCGATATGTCACCGACAGACCTCAGTTTGAGGCGGTTGAATTTCATGTGCCGTTCCCATGCCCTGTTCGATAGCTCCTGGCAATAAAGATCCATGTGAGAATGGAGGCACGGCGACGCAGGAACGTGAATCGAGGAGACGCGCACCTAAAGACTAAGGACATCCCGGGCGTGCGCGGGAGGGTATGATATAAACTGAAGTCAGCGGGCGCCGTCGGAGGGACCTCAACGCCTACCTGCGCCGATTGCGGACGGAGTGGGTCGATGCTAGAGGCAACGATGTTAATTCGCCGGTGCGAGCGGCAGAGCTGGAGCACGGATGGAGTTGATATTGATATGGTGGGCAGCACGCTGCGGAGATGCAATGGAGAGAAGAGAAAGGGAGAGGATACCGAGAGTCACGTAGCACAGTACGGAGCTGCAACGCACTGCATTCATCAGCAAGATCCAAAGTTATTACACACGATACAGTCCTAGGAAGCGCTCGTCAGCGCTCGTCAGCGATCCGGGAGGAACAACGTACTAGGATATGTACCACTGCTCGACACTATTCATTTACCCATTTATCCATTTATTCATCTATTCATCTACGCCCGCCGAACACCAGGCGCACTCAGAGCTTGACCGCGCGCCCGGCGTTGAGGAACGCATGCGTGCCCGAGACGATCAGTTTTCCACTGATTTTGTCGCGCATCTGTGTGGTTCGTTAACAGGTTGGAGGATAAGAGGAAAGGAAAGAGGAAGGGAGAAGGGAGGAAACGCACCTCGCAGCGCGATAGCCGCGCGCGCCCGTCCGCGAAGATGCAGCGCGTAGTGATGCTTAGGGTCGCGCCGCTGTGGAGGTTGATTAATTGAGTATTACGGAAGAACAGGAGGACAAAGAAGAGGGAGGTGAGGGGGAGGGAAGGAGCAGACGCACAGCGGGGCGGGGTGGTGCCAGTGGATGTTCATGGACTGCGAGACGCCGGTGCCGTCGAAGCCCTTCGCGAGGCCGAGGAGGATCGCGGGGGCGACTGTCGCGCTGAAGGACGGTTGAGCCACGTATACGGTATGGACTGGGATGGGAGTGGGAGCACGCACGGGTCAAGCATGTACGCCGCGCACCCGCCGTGCATCGTCCCGTACACATTGCACATGCCTAACCACCCCGTCAAAAAAATCCAGGGGAATGCGACCACTACGCACTCTCCGTCACGTCGATCTCGAGCTCGACCTCCGCCGCGTCCCCGCACACGTTGAGCGCGACGATGCGCAGCTGGCGCCCGATGTCGCTCGCGAACGGCGGCGGCGTGCCAGAGAGGCCACTGCCGGTGGTGAAGTACGCAAGGACGTTCGCGTTGAGCTGCTTCTGCGCGGCGGGGACGTTGCCCGCGATCTGCGCGGCATCGACGTCCGGCGCGGCGGGGAGCGCGCGCAGGAAGGCTTCCCAGGGGGGCGTCATTTAGTGAATGAGGTAGTGATACCAAAGGGAGAACCAGCGAGCTAAGAGCTTATCAACTCGGGCAGGCTCGGGCTGCGTATAGCTGAGTCAATGCGGCCGAGGACGACCCCGCCGGGCCCGCCCGGCGACGGCTATGCTAGGACCGAGCGTGACAGTCATGGTGACACGTAGCACAAAATACTTTCTGCCAGGCCTTAAGGACCAGCGGTTTGTTTATTGCTTTCCTGCCTCATTTTATGTCGTTGGTGGGTGAGTATGCAGACTGTGAGTCTATTATTCAGGGTTTTTTCCCAGTGATTTTTGTCCGGGTCGCACCACCCTTCGTGATCACAGGTACCGTCGGTAATCGCATTCGGAACTCGGGTGCGTAACCGAACCACGTACGAGCGCGTACAAATTTTTGGCGGTGGAGCGGAAATATTTAAAAAAAGTTTGGAGTCGATCAGCGGGAATCTCTACAGAGAGGCGCGTCGCAGAGAGATGGATTTCCTTTCGTTACAGTGTTTTGGACTGTTCTTCTGCCGCTGTGAACCATTCGCCACAACCCTGCATGATCTACATTCGATGCAGGAGCTCAATTATGGAGGAATAAGACCCAGACGTAGGGAGTGGAATGATCATATTTATCCAGCATGCGGGAATCCCTGGTTCAACTCCAGACTGGGTCATCGTTGAGGTCATTGGAGTTTTTTCTGTTGTGTCCTTCCAGGCGCATCCTTCAACTTGCACTCAACACAAGGCTTAATGGGGCGAGAATACGACCCAGTAGCGGAGGGTCCGCGCCCGCCTGTGTAGAAAAAGAAATATGCAATCATCTTTGTCCAGCGAGAGTTCCTGGTTCGACTCCAGGCTGGGTTATAGTTGGGGTCATCGGATTTTTTTCTGGTGTGCTCCGCCATCGCTCTCGAAATCACATTCGAAATTACACACAACACAAGGTTTAATGGGACGAGAATGAGACCCAGTAGCGGACGGTCCGCGCCCGCCGGTGTAGGGAGCGAGACGATCATATTTGTGCCGCGACTCGCGAAAATCCTGGTTCGACTCCAGGCTGGGTCATAACTTATGGGCCTTGAATTTTTTTTCTTTGCGCTCTGCCGCCACCTGCTAACTTCCCCTCGACGCAGGAGATCAATGGCGTGGAATAAGACCCAGTAGCGGACGGTTCCGCGCCCGCGCCCTGTAGTCATTGACCCAGCGTGCTGCGGGAATCCCTTGTTTGACTCCAGGCTGGGCCATAGCTTGTGGCCATTGGATTTTTATCCATTGCGCTCTGCCGCCTCCTTCTAGCCCCACAGTCGACATAATTTTAAATTGGACAAGAATAAGACCCAGTAGCGGACGGTCCACGCCCGCGGCGTGTAGAAAGTGGAATAATCATATTTGTCATGCGAGAGATCCTGGTTCGACTCGAGGATGGCCATGGGTCACAACATACAATATCTGCTCCTGTACATTTCTCTGCATGCCGGAAATAATTGAACTCACAAACGGCACTGTACTAATGTAATTCAAGGAGAATGAACCCAGTAGCGAGCGCGTCATCCACGTGTTATGGTTAAAAAGTAAAAGTACAGCGGAAGCTTAAGGTCGTCGTGGTACCCGTGGGCTGATGTTTGCAGTGTTCGGCGACCCAGTGTTCAACGTTCACCACCCAGAGCGATACCCGCGCCTATACCTGCATAATTTTGGCGTCGAAGCGATCGTGACCCGTGGCCGGATTCAAAGTGAATTGCGGGCCGCGCCTGTAAGCTGTCGGGGTGCCTTGCAAGCGAGTACGAGGGCCAACGCCCCGCGCGCAGAAATCCCAGCAAACTCCCAGCCAACTCCCAACACGACACGACATCCCCATGCCAGATCCCGCGCGCCGGGAGCCAGCAGTGAACAAATGCCATTCCATTCCATTCTCTGACTTGTAATACACGGGATCTACGCTTTACACTTGAGTCGGTCGGCGAGCCGCGTCACAACTTCGTTAGGGTTTGGGCTGGTTCTGTCTAATCTCCATCTGAAACCACATAGAACCAACACGCAGATTTTCAGAAAACTAATATACACGGATATTCAAAACACATTATGAATTCCGCAAGGGAAGATGACCAGGACTATCTGAAGTCAGCATGAGCAGGCGGACATACACAGGACATACCTCCGGGAAAGCAACTCGGCGGAGAGTCTTGAACTCTTGATGGGTGCACGCGCCCTATCACTGTTTAGAGGATGTATCGGTGACCCAGGATATGATCCGCCAAAAGTCACTAACAAACTAAGGGCTGTCAGAAAACAATGACCATATTTGGCTGACTATGACCTCACCTCCTGAAGCAGGTCCCCTGTCAAAAATGAAGTCCGTGGTCGGTTAGCGATCACTCACATCGTCATACGCGCCCTGAACCCAAGTTCCGGTTAGTAAGCACACCTACAGCAAGTAAAATGCACTCGCCGTCTGTACATGAGTTTTACTTCGGTGGATTAGCTCTACAGTCTGTTGAAACAACGCACAATCTGTGCATGAGTTCTGTGTCAGTGGTCGGAAAACATTCAGGGACTAGTGACTTACGACCTAGGTTACATATTAGGGAATCAATTTCATACTCAGTCAAAGGATACTACTCACTCCCTAATCATCATTTTGCTGTGAGGGAGGTAAGAACCATAGTCTTCCAAATCACTCACGAACTGAAAATAATTGCTTTTCAGAGAAGCCTGTCGTCAATCAAAACACACTCACAGGCTGAACAGAAAATCCCAGTCAGAGAATCAGCTTTATGGTCTGCGAGAATATCTTACATCCTGGACATCGGTTCTGTGTTAAATCAGGCCAATTTTTGGTACCACTCACTTCCTGGACCCAAATGCCACATCAGGGAATCCAGTATGTGCACTTGTTAAACACTCACTTTCTAAACCCGGTGTGTGTGATCAAATAATTAACGGTAAGAAATAAGCACGCACGATCTGAGTTTGTGTTAGGAAATTATTTTTTTAGCCATTGCCACTTACGTCCTAGATCCCAAGCCATGTCTGGAATCAGGTCTACGTAAAATTTACGTGACTCACAGTCTGAACACAAGTTAGACGGGAAATTTGGGGAGGAGGTACAACGACTTACCCCCTGAGTTGCATGTCAGAGAATCAACTTCATATTCGGTTCATAACTTACGTACTGAACCCAAGTTCAGTGTAAGTGCATCGGGGCCATAATGCCATAGAAAACTCTTACGTCCTGAACAAGTTATGTCAATGGATCTATAATCGGCAAAAAGAATCTCACAATCTAGATACCAGTTTTGTGTCAGAAAATCGTGAAACCGTGAAAGTAGAATGACTCACAGCCTAATTTCTATGGCTAAGAATGAAAGCCATAGTCACTTGAGAAATACTCACGTCCTGAGAATAGGTCCCGTTTCACTGAATCAAGTCAATTGGCCAGAGCCACTCACAACCTGCACATGAGCGCCATGTGAGGGAACCACGTTCGTTCTTCGTTGAATTGACTCACAATATCCTGAATGTAGGTCGTATGTCAGAAAATCAAGTTCATGGTTCGCTGAAAGTCACGTCACTCACGACCTGAACCCAAGTTCGGTGTCAATAAATCTTCTCCATGTATACGCGACTCACAATCTGAACATCAGTTCCTTATCAACAAAATAGATTTATTGGTGGGTAAGACCACTTGCCCACTGAAGCCACGTTCCGTGTGAGCGAGTCAGGTCCATATTGGGCTCAAGACGACTTACATCGATCTGAATATGATACATTAGATTTGGAAGAATCGAGTCCAGAGTTGAAATCGCTTACCGCCTGAAAATAACTTCTAGTTCAGTCCATTCGGGCCAAGATAGAGGGATCACTCACGCCCTGAACCCATTTATATCTCAGCAGCTCAGCTCAAAATTTAAAAATGACTCACATCCTGCACCTCCTAAAGATTCTGGGTCAGTGAATCACGATGGTGCTCGACAACGACATGCGCTCACATGAGTCTGAATCGTCAGAAATCGGGTGCACGTTAAGTGAAGAAAGGACCTACCTGTCCAGCCACAGTCCACAGGACATTGGCCAACATGATCAGTTTGAAGAGTTGCATAAGGGTGCTTGTCGGTGTGTCACTGTGAGGAAGAACGTATGGTGTTGATTGAAGTTGGACTCCTCCGCCTCGCCTTCTTTATATCCTACCACTCGGGAATTACCGGACATTTTTGGGGCTACTCCGACCTCGTACCAGGCTAGAACCGTGGCACTATTTTTAAGCGAATCGGGCAAGGCTGACATCGATATTCCGGGTGGACACTAGACAGGGAACATCAGCCTAGCCAGTAGTACCCATTCCCTGTTCATCGGCTCGGACTTCTCGGCAGGTAAGAATCAGGTCTAACCTTTTGGAGGACCTGAACTTTACATCTGAAAAAGTCCGATCATGACCGCCTCCCCGCGCCTAGTCCATCTTTCCGTAATGGCTCCGTCGATTTTGGCGCACAGCCTCATTCTGTGGAGCGCGAAGAGACTGGGAGATCAGCCGACCCCAGAGGTCCTGCAGATTCGGTGACGTCAAGATCATTGAATTAGGATGTGTTGTGCATACATTTCGCATTCTACGGCTCGCGCGCTTGAGAGCAGAGTGGATGCCTTTGTCGCGGAATCAACACGGAGCTTGTATCAGCGAGAAATGGGGGAGCTATCGCGGGCCCTACCTCACTGAGTAGCACTCGCCACCACAGCCAATGCAGAAGCAGTTAGCGCGGTTAGGGACCTAGGAAGCGAAATACTCGCCTAACGGACCCGAATTTGTTCGGGATATTTACCTGACCCATTCATCGTAGAATCAATACTCTTCCCTCAGCCTTTCCAACACAAACGAACATAAACTCTATGTATAATTTAAATCGAACCTCTCCTGATCTCCGAGCTCGCCGTTCAACCCTGGAGTATTGGCCAGAGCGGCGCCGGTATCTCTGCAGCGAGAAAGGCTGACGGAAGCCCGCTCTGACTGCTATCCCCTAGCTTGAAGATGGGCCGAAAGGAAGTCCTACCGGGACCTGTCGCATCTAAATAGTAACGTCCAGGCCCGCTTGGGAAAAAGCAGAGGCCACGATAAGGCAGGTGGTGGAGGGGCTGAGGCTGAGATTCGGGTGCCACCAGGGAGCGAACAGCAGAATCCCGGGGCCCAGCACGTATCGGGACAATAGTGCTTAGACTAGTATGGACTCCGTACCGACTGCGCTATTTGATTCCCGCGGAATAAATCGATCGGAGTGGGATTCCCAACCTCGGGCGATCCAGCGAATCCCACCGAGGAGCGGACTGAAAGAGCTCCATCAAGGTGATGGCGGGATAGGTATGCAGAGTCCCCAGCATTCCAGCGAGGCACTGACTCGCCCGATAATAGATACTATTGTCGAGCTCTCCAATATTCGCTGCTGTATCATCGCGCCCTTGTAGGGAGCGAAATAATCAGGTTTGTCCAGCGAGAGTTCCTAGTTCGACTCCAGACTGGGTCATAGTTCAGGGGGCCTTGGATCTTTTCCTTTGCGCTCCGCAATCGCTCGAGAACTCCCCTTCAACACAAGGTTCAATTGGACGAGAATAAGACCCAGTAGCGGACGGTTCCGCGATCGCATGTACTAGGGAAGCGAAATGATCATATTTATCCAGCGAGAGTCCTGGTTCGACTCCAGACTGGGTTATAATAAGGCCCTGATCATTTTTCGGGAGCCCGCTAACAGCGGTTAGGCTCAGGATTGCCTTCTAACCCACAGTCGATACACGGTTTAATGGGACGACAATAGGACCCAGTAGCGGACGGTTCCGCGCCCGCGCCCTGTAGCCATTGATCTGAATCCAGCGGGAATCCTGGTTCGACTCCAGGCTGGGTCACTGCGTGTCGTCACCCGAATTTTATTCGCTGCGTGCTGGAATATCTCGAGCTCACATTCGACGCATGAATTCAATGGTGTAAAAAGAGACCCAGTAGCGGAAGGTCTGCGCCCGTGCCCTCTTTCCATTCATCTAGCGTGATGCGGGAATCCCTGGTTCGACTCCAGGCTGGGTCATGACCTGTGGGCATTGAATTGTATCCCTTGCACTCTGTCGCCGCCTGCCAACTCGCTATCGACACAAGGTTTAATGCGACCAGAATAAGACCCAGTAGCCTACGGTCCGTGCCTGCACCCTGTCACAAGAAATCATCATGTTGGTCCAGCGAGAGTTCCTGGTTCGACTCCAGGCTGGATTATGCTTTGCGGTCGATCGATTTTTATTCGTCTCGTTCTGTCTACCTCGCCTCGAATCGTGGTCGAAACCAGGTTCAAGTTCAGAGGAACGAGACCCACTAGCGGACGGTCCGCGCTCGCGCCCTGTGAATCTGTGAATCCAGCATGCTGCGGGAATCCCTTAGCCTGATTCGACTCCAGGTTGGGTCATGACATCCCGAATCTGTTTCTTTTTTTCATTCTTCTTGTGCACTCTGTCGCCGCCTGCCAACTCCCCCTCGACGCAGGAGTTTAATGGGGTGGAATAAGACCCAGTGGCGGACGGTTCTGCGCGCCGTGTGTGGATGGATTCGGTTTGTCCAGCGAGAGTTCCTGGTTCGACTCCAGACTGGGTTATACCCCTGTAGCAAATTCTTTTTTTCCTTTGCGCTCTGCCGCCGCCTGCTAACCGAAAGTCGACGCAGGGTGTAATCGGACGAGAATAAGACCCTGTAGCGGACGGTCCACGCCCGCGCCCTATTTCCATTCATCTGAGTCGCTCTCCGCTCGCACCGCCTGCGGCGGGCTGCTGGGAGGCGACTGAGGTTGCGCTCCGCGTCGCCGCGAGGGGAAATGGATGCGAGTGCGAGAGGCCGGCTCTGAGCGCAAGGAGAGGTCTCCCGGGGGAGACGGATGGGCGCGCCGAAGGCGGGTCGCCAACTCTACCAACCCAGAGCGAGAGCTCACTAAACTCGTTTGGTGGGGCGCTGGCGGGGATGGAGTCGCCGAAATGGAGGGCTGTGCAACGAGGGGCCGCGAGGTCGGTGCGTGTAAGGCCTGAAGGCCGATATCGTGCATCATCGCTGCGCATGACCGGGGCAAATCTTGTCAGCGCCATTTCGATCTGGTTTTCCCTTGTCGGCTGTGCAGGAGGTCGGAGAGGGAGAAGCGCCGGGAGGGTTCGTCCTTGCACTTGAGGGCGCGTGCGCTGACTCGGGAAATGTGTTGCCTCGGCGCCGGCGGGAAGGTGGGAAGGTTAACAAAATTGTGAGGTTTAGGGAAAGCAGTTGCGCAGCATTTGCAAACACGTCTTGTATAAGGGTAAGGTGCGCGTAAGACAAGAAGATGGATACTGTAAGCCTCGTGAGGCGAACGTAGGTAAAGGGAATAGCAAAGGGCCTGTCTGGCGCGCGCGCGCCGCGTGAGTAGTCGAGCGAACACGTGAGTGGGAAATGTCTCGTTGCGTAACACGTGCGCGGGGTCACTGGGCGCCGCCAACGGGCAGCGTGGCAGGCGGCCATGGAGATTTTCGCGTCTGGCGTGCAGTTGGCGCGAATCTTCTGGAATGAGCAGCAGCGAGACCGGGGAATCAAAACGGAAGGCACGGGCGGCGGCGGAAGCGACAGCGGGGGGAAAGGGAGTAGTAGCGGAGACGAAGATGGGAAGCGGCAGGCAAAGGAGCAGCCCCGCGTCCCACGACGGTACCGGTCTCAACGCTCACAGCATGGCACATGTGGTGGAATTTTTCCCACGACAAGGCCTTGACAAGGCCCCCTTTTTCTGGAAAATTGTGAAAGATAGAGGCATGTTGCCCCCTCTCAGTGCCCTCCGACGCTCGCAGACGGCCATCATTCGGGCCGGCACAGTCAGTCATTGGTCAGTCACCTTCCACCCGCTATAGTTGCGCTATAGAGGGAGGCCTGGGAGGTGGAACCAGGTCAGGCGCCACACGTGAGGAAATGTGCTTAACGCACTCGTGTCGTCGTCGCGACGTGGCATGTGGGGATTTGCGTGATTACAGGGCTGGACCGTCGGTGGTCGCAGAACGCGGGTGCGTAACCGAACCACGTACGAGCGCGTATGGTCACCAACAGTATTTTGGCGGTGGAGCGGGAATTTTAAAAAATAATTAGACACGATCAGCGGGAATCTCGACAGAGAGGCGCGTCGCAGAGAGGTGGATTTCCTTCCGTTACAGTGTTTTGGACTGTTCTTCTGCCTCTGTAAATTATTGGCCACGACCCTGCCTGATCTCCGTTTCTGAGTTCACATTCTACGCGGGGGTTCAATTATGGAGGAATGAGACCCGGAGCGGAATAATCGTATTTATCCAGGATGCGGGAATTCCTGGTTCAACTCCAGGCTGGGTCATCGTTGAGGTCATTGGATTTTTGTCCTTGCGCTCTGCCTCCTTCTAACTCCCCCTCGACACAAGGCTTAATGGGACGAGAATAAGACCCAGTAGCGGACGGTCCGCACCTGCCTTTGTAGGGAAAGGAATAAGCATGTTTGTTCAGCGAGAGTTCCTGGTTCGACTCCAGGCCGGGTCATAGCTTGAATTTTATTCCTTTGCACTCTGCCGCCACCTGCTAACTCCCTCTCGACGCAGGAGTTTAATGGCGTGGAATGAAACCCAGTAGCTCCGCGCCCGCGCCGTAGAAAATGAAATGATCATGTTTGTCCAACGAGAGTTCTGGTTCGACTCCAGGCTGGGTCATAGCTTATGGGTCTTGATTTTTTTTCCCTTTGCGCTCTGCCACCACCTGCTAAATCCCCTCGAAGCAGGAGTCCAATGGCGTAGAAAGGGACCCAGCAGCGGACGGTTCGCGCCCGCAGCGGTTAAAAAGAGTGCAAGGTAAGTAATGTGGCGAGAGTTCCTGGTTCAACTCCAGGCTGGGTCATGCATGATGCAGTCTCTGCATTCTCTTTTCTAACGCCTCCTTATAACCCACACTCAAGAAAGGGTTTAATAGGAGCAATGAGACCCAGTAGCGGACGCTCCGCGCCCGCGCCCTGTAACTCTTGACCCAGCGTGATGCGGGAATCCCTGGTTCGACTCCAGGCTGGGTCATAGCGAAGGTTCTTCCCTCTGTTTTTCCTCTATTGTGATCTTGCGCCTCCTTCCAATTTGTCCTCGACGCAGGAGTTCACTGGCTGGGAAAGAGACCCAGTAGCGGACGGTTCTGCGCCCGCGCCGTATATAGATGAAATGAATTTATGTTTGTCCAGCGACAGTCCTGGTTCGACTCCAGGCTGGGTCACGATGAGATCCTGATCTTTTTCGGGAGCCCGCTAAGAGCGGTTAGGCTCAGGATCGCCTTCTAACCCACAGTCAATACAAGGCTCAATAGCGCAGAAATAGTCCCGTAGCGGACAGTCCGCGCCCGCACCTGGTTTGCCATTCATGTGAATCCAGCGGGAATCCCTGGTTCGACTCGGGCAAAGGGATTAGGCCGCCACTGCCACCACTGGCGGCAGTTGGCGGCAATAATGTGGTGGCTTCACCAATGGATGATAAAGCTTCCACACCGTTTAGTTGAACTAAAATACCAATGTAGTCCCCTTTACAGGTACTTTCATGCTGTATTGACTATTTCCCTGTACCATGTGAATCTACGAATCCCATTGAGAAGACCATTTCATTGTGACACAGCCACATGGGTAAGGTATGGATTTAACCTTGCAGAGGGTCATAAAATCATCCCAGGTTCATGCTACAATTTTAGTCAAGTGATTCGGCCCAGAAATGGGTGCAAACCACCCCACTCATTACTTTTGGCCACCATAACAGATACACATACTGAAAACATTGGATGGGGGTGGAAGGTGGGCTATCAAACACAAGGGAGCGCTTGCGTTGCGCAAGGGCAACAGGTCCGTCCAAGCAGACTGTAACATCACATGATCTGAGATACACAGGAATCTCGACCTGGACAGTAACTGAGACATCCGTCTGCTTCCACCGTTGCCCATCCCAGAAAGAGGAGTTCCTGGCATTCAGCTCACCAACAAACTGGATGATCAAAGGCGAATCCTTGGGATGAAAGAGGGGAAAGTGTAGCGCAACAACAGAGAAGGCTTCAGCAGGATCATGGTCCTGTTATGGATGCTTTAAAAGGAGGAAGAAGAGCAGAACATCACGTACTTTGGCCCACCAAAATGCCTCAACCGTTTGTGCCCTGGCTTTTTTATAGGCGGCTGCTTGATTTTCTCCACTGAGCTCAAATTTAAAACTGCCCGCTTGAAGTTTGACAGCATAAGAAGGGTCTCCAGGTCTTGCATAAGGCTTGGCAAGACTAAGTGACGTGGGTGTGGACAGTGTGGCTGGAAGTGAGGCTGACAACACAGACAAAGTGGAGCTGGTTGCAGTTGATGGGGCAGTTGAAGTGGATGATGAGGTATGGACGGTGAAGGAATTCACAACGTATCGGGAAGGTTCGTTGTGTGAAGCCGTCCTGCAGGCAGCAGTGGATGCCACACAGCACCGCTTGCAAAATAGCTGCACGCAATTGTCGTTGCGGTCCGAGTGGCAGTTGGCCGCGGTATTTGAACAGGGCTCCCGCGGTTTTCGAGGTGAGGATGTGTGTGATGATGTGCCCGACGACATGGACAGCGAGCTGTCAGGAGAGCCCTGAGGGTGGGGAGGAGGAAGTGACTGGTCCCTTGAAGCCGTGTTGGACTGTGTTGGTGTCGTTCCAAAGAAAGAACTTACAGCCAGCGTTTGGCGTAAGTCGTGTCGGGCACACTGAGAATGTTGAGTAGGGAGACAATTACAGGAAGGAAATTATGCACATGCTGGAAAGTACGTCCCTCGTTTTCAGGGTTGAATGTTCCAAGACACTCTCTGGGGGCAGTGAGAAAGTGGGCCTTGCACCTGGGGCACACTTTGTCTGACAACTTTAAGATCATGTGAAGTTGCCGTACAGCATAGTGGTTTGTGCCTGTTGTACATTTGGAGCAGAAGGTTTGAGTCCAAGGAATGACTGGAGGATATAGTATGGTATTTCTCAAACTTTAGTTTCAAGATTTCTTTGGACTGATTCCATTCGGATAATGCTTGGGCGATAACTCTCAAAAGCAAT